GGCATCTGTATAAGTATGGCATTACACAGAGGAATGCAAACTGACAAATCGAGTGGTACAAATACTAGATAAGTTCTTGTAGCTATGTAAATCTGTTGAAATTGAGTAACAAGAAGTCCATTTGAAAAGATCTGAATAGAGAGATAGCTGGATCTTTAACAGCTCTACTGTAAAGGCTAGCCTGGGGAAATGGATATCAAGATCGTAGTACCCAGTCATAGTAGCTGGATGGCAAGAACCTCCAGGTTGGAAGTCTCAAGGGTACTACCAACTAGGCCACCAGAATAAACTAAAGAAAAAGGATATTGGACTGACCCGATATACTAATGGACTGGTCATAGTCCTACATAGGCTATCTGAATTAGAAGTTTGGTAAAAAGGCAGGTAAAAAGGCAGAAATATACTAAAGTACTGGGATTATGCTGTAAAGTAGATGCTGAGGTCTAAGTAAACTCTACAAGGGCATAGCAGTTTAATGGTCAGCCCTAATTACAAGTGTTGGTTCTGTCATAGTGATACCTAGGTCAGCTATAAAAATAAGTACAAAAGGCTTTGGGGAGTTTATCTTAAGGATAAATTAGTCCTAAGGTTGAGATGATGATTTGGACATCTGGGTATAATTCAGTAAGTTAATACAGATTACAAATTCAGAAGGTTTAAACTAGAATATCCAAACAAAGATGTTAGGTACGGCAATTGGTAAGGAACCTTTAGGCAGACTCTTTAAATAGGTAATATAGAAAAGTTATATGTGTAGCCAATTGTACTCTCTCTTGTAGTGGTTCATTTAACCACAATACCAATAAGTGATTAATAAAAATCAAAAGACCAAAGAGGTCACCTTAATACTAAAAAAAAAATATATATATAATAAAAGCAACAACCTATTAATATTAATCTTAGCAAAAGTAAAAAAAAATAGACTAATAAAGCAACATTTTAATATAGTTTTTAAATATAAAAAGAAGACTAAAAAAAATTAATTTACTTTTATTTTGCTATCTTTTACTGCTATTAGTTTTGTTTTGAGTATTATAAGTTTATTAAGCTTTGATATTATAATTATAGATTTGTTATTAAAATTTGTTGTTATGAATTTGCTATTACAAATATACATATTAAACAAATCTAAACAAATTTCAAGTTTCTAAAAAATAATTGTTAATTATAAAAAATTAAATTAAACAAATAATTCTAAAATTTTATAAATATATTATCTATAATTATAAGAATATACTAAATAATAATTATTAATAAAATTTTTGAGTTATAAATTTGATTAAACTTTTTGGGTTTGTCCATTTTAAATGAGAGATATAGTAACTTAGTGAAGTAGATAAGTTGTTAACCCTTCAAGTAGTAGGTTAGGAGTTCAAAATCTACTGATAATGAAAATTTGAAAAAATTACCTGTTATATTAGTATTACAAAAAATAAGCAGTATTACAGCAATGGTATTCTGTTGATCAGTTGGGATCAGTACCTATACCATGATTACACCAGCATGACTGGCAGGTCATAAAGCATCTGCATAATGTTAAAGTTATACAAAGAAATGCAAACTAGTATCAGATAGTGCAAATCCAAATTAAGTCCTTGTGGTTGTATAAATCTGTGAACTAGAAAAACCAAAGTCTATTTGGAAAGACCCAAATAGAAAAGTAGCACAAATCTTCAATAGTACTACTATAAAGATTAGATCTAGAAATGGTTACTAATGTAAAAGAAATCAGGTGGGTAAGAACCTTAGATAAGGGATATTACTAACCAGACTACTGAAAATCTCGAACTGAAGGAAAAGGATCTTGGAAAGCAGACCCTGAGATATCAGAAACAGGTTATAATCCTATCAGGCTATCTGGATTGGAAGTTTAAAATCAGAAGCACAGGTATACTATAAGTACTAAAAATATTTGATAAAGTTAATGCTGAAATCTGGATGAACTTTGCAAAAGTAAATCCTATTAATAAGAAACTAAATGTAAGTAGTTAGTTAGCAGGAAGACCCTCTAGAACCCTACAGTCAGGTGATGTATTCTGAAATATGTAATAGCTTGATGGATGTACAGATAGAAAGATTATGATTAGGTTAGATGACACTTAGATGTATAAAAACTTGTACTCTATTTGTTGATATAAGTATAAAGATTAGAGTGTTTAAATAGATAATCTTCTAGTAGATTGCAGATATGGAACTAGTGTAGAACCTACTATGCAAGTAGACTACTTAAAATATACAACCAAAAGTTATACATGTGACTAGTTGTATACTTACTTTGTACAAATTATATAATCATAATTAAAATACAATAAAAGCAATAGTTACTGATAACTATGACCTTAGTGTAAGCAAAAAATAAAAATAAAATAAAAATAAAATAAACTTAAAATAAACAAACTCAAAAAGTCTGACCAAATTCATAACTCAAAAATTTTATTAATAATTATTGTTTAAATAAATTAAGTATATTTTAATAGTTATAAATAATATATTTATAAAATTTTAGAATTATTTGTTTAATTTAATTTTTTATAATAAAAATACTACAATTAACCCATGATGATTATCACTACTTCTATTTTTAGGATTAGAGTGCAGTTTGAAACAGAAGCAAAAATTAGATATAATAGTCTGAAGTTTAAGTTACACAAAGTTTTCAGGAGTTCCGAACATTTTTGCTTAGTCTACCTGACCCCTGTTTCTTAGTGTGTTTTTTGAGATATAGCCTCTAGGTGATGATCACCATAGGTTATAGTTAGTAATATTCTTTTATAATTAACAATTATTTTTTAGGAGTTTGGGATTTGTCCAACATGTATAGTTACGGATTTGCTACAACACCACGACTTTCAACACACAAGAGTTCCGACACCACGACTTCCGGATCGGGGCCATGATCATAAATTGTTGGATAACACCATTATACGTATTTTCAGTCGAATAAGAAATAAAGAAAGAAAAACTGACAGTATGCGATGTATATATTTACAATACGTTTTAATAATTGACCAATCATAATTAAAACACCCTAAGCTTATTGATTGGCATGTAGTACAAAAGTCACGTTACAGAAAATTTTTGGTAGTTATATAAATTAGCCAATCCTATGAACCACATTTGAACAAACGGCATGCATTTAACCAATTATATGGGAACAAAGACTTGCACATGGGACTTTGTTCAGAACAGGCTTGAGTCACTCCTAAAAGCTGGCTTTTTAACAGACGCCGTAAACCTTCAAACAAAATCCCCGCTCGTGATTTTTATCCAATTAAATCGAAAGATCAGGTGTAAACAATCTTTAGGATTAGGATTAGGTTACGTTAGGGGAAGTTTTGCCTAATGTTTTGCGGGAGATCTACAGGCGTTAAAAATTTCCCTCTAACGTAACCTAATCCTAACCCTAAAGATCTCATTACACCTAGTTTTTCAATCTAATTAGTAAAAATCACGAGGGGGTGAAAATTTTTTTGTGGAAGAGCTACCGCATTTTTTTAACAACCCTATCCTCATATAAGATGTACTGCAACAATGCGACGCTACCCCTTGTTTATCAAGTCATTATATTTTACAGAAAGGCAGAACATGATATCATGTGAAATCACGGAAAATCGGTGATTCTATTGCGGGTATGACCTCTGCAGATGAAAATTACGGGAAATTAGGCGATTTTTCGATTCTAAGGGAATTATACAGATTTCCAAATAAATACAAATATTACTGATTGATATGATTGATAAACAATCTAGAATCACTATCGTTATCACGAAAATCACCTTTTGCAAACCGCAACAATCGAAAAATATGATCGATAGGCAATTAGAGTCTGAAATTTTCCGACATCTTAATCGCGAAAATAACAGTGCTATACTTTTCTGCAAACTGCCATAATTTACTCTCTGTGGTTGCACCACCAATAAATTAAATAATTGCAATTAATTGCCCTCACAATCATTCGGTAACGAAAACTAGACAAATTTTTAGATCTAAAAATTATTGGGTAAAATACCACATCCACCAGAGTTTCAATCCGTCATCCGTTTCTGATTACCCGGATAATTCAGATATCTGGATAATCCGACAGGCATTCGGATATCAATAGTAAACGGATATAAAACCGATATCAGAATAAATTCAGATCTGGATATCCGAATAAGAACACTACACTAAAAGAGTGCAATTTTTCGTAGATCATTTTTAAAGAAAATCTTGATATTTGTTTAAATGGTTTAGTACATTTATCGTTAACATTAATACATATATGGTTCAAATTTCCCAATATTTTCAAGGGTATATACGATTTAGTGTTAGGGCTTTTTGCCATAGCCATTTATAGTTATGCATATCGTAAATGTGTACGTACAAGGTTGGTGGCAAAGACTAAATTCTTAAAATTCGTTAAGGTTAGGGTTAGAGTCAAATATGGATCTAGAGAGAAATGGTTTATGTAATAAAATTGTTCAACGAAAACTTTTTGTTAGGCACAAAAGGTGGTTTCTTATGCTGATTTTTTTGCTATGAGCAATTTTTGGCAGAATGAACGTTTGTTTTGAATCTTCCTCATCGTGGTACGTTACACCTAATCTTGAAATCTGATTCGTAGTCCAGGAGATCTGCGCCACCAACCTTACAATATGCTATAGATCCGAACTATGCTTAAAATTCAATCCTTAAGTACAGTAAGCCCCAAAAGTTTAGGACTGTTACACGAAGAATCATAGCAAAATTTTATGCAAAATAATAATTATTATAATATTGTATATTTGTAAATTTTTGTTATATAATTTGATTTTTTGTGTTTACTGTATATATACGTATAACTGTTTTTCTCATTTTTAGAACATGCCAGAGAATTCAGTTGAATATAATTTTGTCCATTCAATTACATGCCACTATATCCAGCGGGAAATTTGCCTACCTTTCAGGTCAAAGGATAATTAATGTCAACTCGTGTCTTTTTTTTTTTTTTTACATGATGTATTCCGTTAATTACGGTCGGTATGACTGAAATTCGTGATTTACATGCATTTTCTTTCATCCTATGCATTGATGCTTGCCGTGTAACCTTACATCTATATACAGGGAATCACTACTCCACAATTTAAACATGGACCTTTTTCCGGAAATTCTTGAAGAAATATTCCAATATCTTAATTATGACAAAGTGTCCCTTCATTCTTGTATTCTTGTTAATCGAAGATGGTGCAAAGTAGCTGTACCCATATTATGGAAGCAACCTTTTCTTCTTTTAGAAAATAATGGTCATAACAAACTCATCGATATTTATGCATCTTTTCTCACAGATGAGGCTCATGCAACACTTTTATCCAAAGGCATAAGCTGGTCGCCCAGTCCTTTTCCGAAAAATTATCAAGAAAAAACATTTATTTATCCCTCTTTCTTACGCCATTTCAAATATGATAGTTTATGTTTATGTTTAGATTCATGGTATAGAAAACTTTTACTAAATACTCACGATGATAAATTAGATAAAACGAAGAAAGCATGGGCTCTATACGATTACACATGGTTCATTCCTCTTTATATTGAAATTTTTAAAGTTTTTTTAAATTGTGGTGCAAGATTTGAATGTCTTGACCTTTATTCTGAACATTATTACCAATTTGTCGATCATAGGATTTTGTTTGAATTGCCTGGAATTGAAAATTGTTTAGCAAATCTTAAAGAACTTTCTCCTGCAGCAATGGAAAGTCTTACTTCAATAGATTATTATTCTAAATTATGTCGAAATGTCAAATCTTTAAAAATTGAATCTTTACGCATTGGAGAATCCGCAATATCTGATCTAATTAAAGCTCAAGTTGCTCTTGAACATATTTATATTGGAAACTATCTTTATCCTTATCACTTAACAAACTATACGTTAAATTCTTATGTATACTCTGGACAAAACAATGATCTATCTTTGGCATTGTTAACACAAGCTAGTTCCCTTAAATCTCTTGAAATTAGAAATTTATTTGTTAATGAAATTCCTTCCTATAAACAAATAACTTGGGATAATTTAAATTCTTTGACAATATATAACGATACTAATAATAATTTAATGAAAATGCCATTTGGTATAAAATATTTTCCAAAATTACAAAAATTATATATAAAGCAAAATACTTTTCCTACTGATCTTATTGATTTTATTCGAAATACAAAATTTTCTTTAAAAGAAATCCATTTAATATTAAGAATTCAATCGGGTAACATTTCAAATGTTATCCAATGTATTTCAAAGTTCTGTACAAATCTTGTTTATTTTGAGTCCACTGTTGATTTTAATGCCATTCCCGCTTTATTTTCTTTACTTCGATCTTGCAAAAACCTTAAACATCTTTCAATTTCAAATCCTTTCACTCCTTACACCGAAGATGATTTTAGGATGCTCTCAGCATTTTTGCCTTCTAATTTACGTAGTTTTACTCTGATTACTAACTATATAGATATCACTGATGAATCCTTTGGTATTCTTCTCCAATATTTATGTGTAAAGTTGGATTATTTGGATTTAAGTCAATCTAAAAGAATGAGTTGTCGGGTTCTTGATGTATTATTGGATAGTGCTAAAGTGAACAAATATAGATTTCCGAAAAAGATTATTATTAGTACTAATCCTATTGATTATTCGGATAAAAAAGAAAAACTTTGTAAATTGGAAGATTTGGGTATACAACTTTTAAATGACGATTTTTTAACTTATTGTTTTGTCTGCGATTGATATGTTTTCGTAGAATTTAATAATATGTTGTATATGTTTTTATTCTTTAATTTTGTAATAAACTATATTCAATCATGAAAACGTATTAATTTATACTACCGTGTTTTTTCTTTACTACAATAAATTTATATGCAGAAAATGGGAAGGCATGGATTTGTAGGCCACAGAGAAATTAAAACCCCATTATATATTATTTTGATGACACAAGCTTGTGTAGAAAGTATATTTATGAGTACTGTTGTTAGGCGAAACTATTTTTGGCAAATGGCGAAAGACGAGACCAACGAAATCCTGGCGAAACCCCGGTAAAGTTGAAATTCCTGGAGAAAGTCAAAACTCGGCGAAGATCAAATCCTCTAAGTTCTTGAAAAAGACTAAGCCATGTTAATGAATAAATACGGTGATTAGGCGTAACTGTTTTACGAAATGATTAAAGACGAAACCTAAACCCGGCGAAAGGAGAAACCCCTAGCGAAAGGCAAAACTTCTTGAGAAAGGCGAAACCTCTGAAAACAATTCTCTAGTAAAAATCAAAATTTCAGAGAAGCCTTTATTGCAGCAATTAGTCATTGCGATCTGTTATCGCGTTTTCCTATTTAAAATATAACGGATATCCGGATTCTTCATAATAAACTTGTTATAAAATTAAACGGAGCAGATCTCTAGTAATAGCATGTTGCTTGGTGATGTGATCTCTTATTCATTTTCCAGATTTTTCATAATAATTTCTTTCAAGGCAACTAAGGTGCATTTTTTTGCATATCTTATTCAAATATTTAATTCGTGATCCATATGCCAAGCAGTGAATATATAGTAACATATGGGACAATTAATTATTGTTTATTTAAATTTTAGAATCTGACACTGTCAGAACAATAACGAATTTGTTACTAAGCTAACCTTTATTAAATGTCTAATAAAAGTTGTAGAGCACATTATTTTGGTTCTAAGGGTGGTAATATCATTAAAATTGGCACTGTGAATCACGAGATATTCTTGAAAAGGTTTCACGATCATATAAAGTATCTATGTAAACGATATTGTTTACATAAAAACTTTATATGGTCGTGAAACGTTTTTAAGAATATCTCGTGATCCACGGTACCAATTTTAATGATATTACCACCATTAGAATCGGAATAATGTGCTCTACAACTTTTATTAGATGTTTAAGAAAGGTTAGCTTAGTAAAAAAATTCGTTATTGTTCTGACAGTGTCAGGTTCTAAAATTTAAATTAATTTGTACCACTTTTACTATATATGGTAATATATGCAGCTACGTATGGAGTGCTCCACACTATAATAAAACATATGACCCACTTCTGGAATGCTCCGGAGTGGGTTATATGTATTATTATAGACTGGAGTACTCCATTAACAACTCTAATGTGGATCACGAATTAAATGTAAATGTTTTTTTATATTATGACTATTAATAGTTTTTAAAACTTGAAATTTTGTTATTTAATTTATTTTTTATAAAAATAAAGAAATTTATATTTTGTAGAATAGGTTATTTTCTTATACCAAAATTTATTAATTAGATCTTTTACAATAATTAAACATAAACAGAAACAAAAAAATTAAAAAATTTAATATTTAAAAGAAAATTTTAAAAGTAGAATATACTACATATTTAATTTTAATATTGTATATAAACTTTGGAATTTTACTAAAACGCATTTATAATATTTTACATCTAAATATTTTAATTTAACATTATATAAAAAAATTTAAATCAAAAATTTTTATAACAAAATTTATAAAAACTTAAAAGTTTAAAACATAATAAAAATATATAATAGATGCAAAACTCTATAAGTATATTTTATAATAATTTTAAACTTAATAGTAATATTTTTTAATTTAATTTGATTTAATTAAATATTTAAATTCAAATCAAATTTAAATAGAAAATTTTAAAAAAAAATCAAATTTAAATAGGTAGTGTTTATTTTATCAACAATTACTTTATTACCAACAGTCAATTTGCTAATAAGTTTATTTTGCTAACAATTATTTTACTAACAGTAATTTTATTGACAAAGTAATTTTGGTCATTTTTATTAATATTAGTTAGAATTAGAGTTAATGTTAATGCAATTTTTTTAAAAATCTAATTAATAAAATAGTTGTTAGTAAAATAAACTTGGCAGTAAATTAATTGTCAATAAAATAAGTTGTTAATAAATTAATTGTCAGTTAAATAATATATATATAGTTAAATTTGATTTAATTTAATAAATATTTAATTGGATTTAAAAAATTTTAATTAAATTTTTAAAATATTTTTTAAGCAATTATTATATATATTTCTTAAATTTGTTATTCATACTCTAATGTAATTAGATTATCATAAATTATAATATATTTAGAGAATAATATGTTATATAATACAATTATAAAACTAAACAACTATTCTTTTCAATGATTATTTGAACTAAACTTTTCAAAAAACTAAACTACAAAAAATATTATTAAACTTTATAAAAATTTTTTTAAAATATTATATATGCATAGTTAAACATTGAAATAGAGTTAAAAAAAAAAGTTATAGCTTTGTAGTAATGATTTAAACATATTCTAAATAGAAAAAGTAGCTAGTAAAAGTTTAAAGTTTTTATTAAATAAACAATAAAATTAGATATATTAGTTCTATACAACTGTAAAACCTATAAAGAACATTTATAAAAATTAAGAACTTATAAAACTACAAAATTGAATTATCTCTTGTTTTTACTTTGCTTTAAAAAAATTTTGTAAAAAGTAAGTGATTTAGTCTACTTTTTCCTAAAGATTAATATATAAAACTACTAAAATAATTAGCAGTATTTACTTTTTAAATAGTTTTATTAATAATGTGAATCAAAATAATACAGTAATACAAACATAACTATATATATGTCTTAAGATACTAGAATCTTAAAAATACTGCTTTTAGACTAATTAGTATTCTATACTAATCTTTTATAATCAAGTTAATGTTTTTTTTTCTTATATAGTTTTTATTAAATAATCTAATTAAATAAAAAAATAGTAAAATTATTTTTATTTAGTATAATTTATAATTTTTAAAAGCCTGATACAGATTTACAATTATGTTTATTTGATATTTGTAAATTACAAGTTTCACATATTTTCTTTTTTCTTATTTATTCTCTTAATCTTTTTATTTTTTGATTTATATCTTTTATTATTTATTACTATATCTTTGTTTTGTTTTTATTTAAAAATTTTTTTTTTGTTTTTTGTTTCTTTACAAAAAGATGTTATTAGATTAGCAATGTTCTATTGTAAGATAACAATCAGACAAGCAGTTTATTTTTAACTAAAATAGTATAACATATTATATTTAGGTACTATTTAAGTAATACTAAACTTGTATATTAGGAAAATTTTATATAATTTGTATAGTTTCAAGAATTTTAATAAAGTACTAATATATTTGCTTAAATAAAATAAAAAAAATACAATTATATAACTTAGAAATAAATTGTACTAATTTTTATATAATAAAAATAACTTTTAACTTGAACTAGTATAATAAAATACTTGAATAAAATCTTATATAACAGAATATTTTAACAAGATTTTATAACAAAATATTTAAAGTTTTAATCTGATAAAATATTTTGAACAAATTATTTTAAATAATTAATATTTCTTAAACTTAAGTTACTAAAACAACATTTGAAGTATTTTAAATTATTATAGTTTTTTTAATAATAAGTTTTTTAAATTTATTATATTTGTTTTTGAGAATTGCTATTTTTCACTAATGGTGATTTCTCTATCCTTTTTGAAATTTAATTAATATAGATCTTTAAAACTAATACTAATTTTTAAAACTAATTCATTTAATACTATCTTTTAAAACTAATCTACTTAGTTACTAAAACTAACCTGCTTAACCCTAACTAGTGATGTGCTATTTATATAATACTCAGATTTTTTAGCATATAGTACATATAGTATATACAGTACATATAGTACATATAGTATATATAGTATGTATAAAACATATAGTACATATAGTACATATAGTATGTATCTGGTATAGTAGGATTTTTTTAGCATACAGTATATACAGTACATGTAGTATGTATAGTATGTTTAGAATATATAATACATATAGTATATATAGTATGTATCTAGTATAATAGAATTTTATTTTATACTATAGATTCAGAATATTTAGAAACTTATAAATGTTAAAGTCTAAACTTCAAAACTTAAAAATTGGCTGTTAAAATTTTAGCATACAGTATATACAATACAGTACATATAGTACAGTATATGACATATCACTAACTCTACTCTTTAAAGCTAATTTGTCTAACTCTAACTCTAAAACTAATCTATCTAACTCCAACCTCTAAAGCTAATTTGTCTAATCTTAATCTCTAAAGCTAACTAGCCTAACCTTAATCTCTCTAAAGCTAAACTGTCTAATCCTAATCTCTAAAGCCAACTTATTTAATTCTCAAAAACTAACCTACTTAACCCTAAATACTAAAGCTAACCCACCTAATTCAAACTTTTAAGACCAACTATTCTAATCTGAACTTCAAGGATAATTAATTTCAATAAAATTCTCAGTTGTATATAAGATAAAAATTAAAAATAAAACAGTCTCTATGGGTCTCAAAACTTTTTGATCAAATATTGATTATTTGTTAGACCATATTATTGAATAGATGCTCTACTTATAAATTTTGTTACATAAAAATATACAACAATTTACTATAATTTTTGTGTTTTTTAATTGAATATAATATTATATTCAAATTGTTCAAATATCAATTTCTGAATTTGAAAATTTTTATATATTAAAAAATTTACTCCTGAAGCCCCAAAAAACCAATCAGCTTATAAATTTTTTAAATTATTTTGTTATAAGTTTGAATGATAAATATCTAATCCAAATATACTAATTTTTAATAT